AATGATTTTTCCCTATGTGTTCTAACAGACTTGAGATTGTGAAAACTGGTTTCATTTTTATAGCTTATTTCTTGACCAAGTGTCTCCAGATCTTCAGTTTTAATCCCAACCTCCTTACTGTTTTAGTTCTTTACAGGTCTGTTGTTTCTATCAGCAGATAGCTATTATCTGTGTGCCCCAAGGCAACTGAATATGAGGCAATTTAAAGGCTACAGAAGAGTTCCGCAAAACTTGCGTAATAAAGGTGTAAGGTACAAAGTTAAATTTTCTTGAGGCAACTGGTATAAACCAAGAGCTCCACAACGGAGCCTGTTGCTAGCAAAATTAAAAGAGAAGGTAAATAAACAAGCAAGAGTTTGGATTTTAAAAGCCCTGTTTGCTTTGTGAGTACTAACACAGAGTATTTGCAGTAATGTGCTTCAGCTATACGAAAAAAAAAAGAGATGTCACTTGCCCTGGTGAAGCACTGAAGACAAAATGGTAGAGAAAAAAGCTAACAAGTGAGATGGGACAGCAGACAACAAACTCTCTTCAAGCACATTGTGTATACACACACAAAACAACTTTAAAGGCAAAAGCATTTACATTTTCAACTGGTAAATTCTGCTGTTGGATTGGGTAACTGTTTCTCTTCAAAAGTCACTTTTTTTTCCCTCAAAAGCCTACTTAAACCTCAAAAATGGAGTTATTAGACCAAACTCCGCCATTTTGCTGAGCAAGCAATTCCCCTGACTTCCTTGGGGAAAACATGCCTGTGACTCAACAGGTCTGCATATTTCCTGAAGCTTTTCTCTAAAGCAGATTAAAAACCAAAATAATCCAGCAGCTTTGTCATTAGCGCAGACCACCAACTCTCTGACCCGCCCTCAGCCTCAAAATGGCGGATGTCACCTCAGAGGGCTTTGTTTTCCACACCTCCTCAGGAGATAACTCTTGCCATCCTTCTAAAACTACTTCTGACAGCAAGAAAAGACTGACCTTTTCTTTTCGAGGCAGGAATTTGAAAGATATATTAAAATAAGGAAAGTGGATAAGGCAGCGGGTGCCTGCCAGCACTTACTTCTGGAGGTGCAGGTGATGCGGCCGCTGCCCTCCCCAAGGCAGGTGCAGTCCACCATCATCCACCCTTGGTAGGGCTTCTCCCAGGTCTCGCCCACCACGTAGGATGTCCCGGCCGTGTTGTCGTAGCATCGCTCAGCTGAGGGAGGGAAAAAGGTGAGTGTTTGCTTTGCTCCAGGGCATCCCATATGGGGATGGGGACACCCCAGGCCAGGAAGATGAGGAGAAAGGAGGCTGAACCCCAGCCGAGCTGAGGGAAGATGGAGCCACCACCTACCCACGGGCTTGCAGGTCCACTCGCCCTTGCCGTTGCCCAGGCACACACACTCCAGCATGTAGCCACCCGTCTCATGGGGGCGACGCCAGGTATCGCCAATCTTGTAGGACTGGCCGCCCTCATGGCAGCGATCTGCAGGCAGGAGAGAGGCAGAGCTGAGGTGAGGGGCCCCGCAGCAACCAGTAGCGACACAGGACAGCATTATGGGGACACAGTAAGGGCCACCCGGGTGGGAGAGAGGGGTAAAAATGGTCAGTCATGGTGGAGGTGAGGGGAAGTGAGGAAAAGCAGGGCAGACCATGGCCACTTCCTTCAGGTTGCAAAATGGCGCCCATTTTCCTTTGAGGCCCGCCATCTTCCCTTGGTGCTTGACAGGTATTTTCTTTATCAGGCCCTGTCCTCAGCCACACCCTGACAGGTTTCAAACCACAGCTGAGACCTGCTGCTGAACGGGGAACACCAGGGTGTGAGGAGATGTTGTTCTGCCCTCAGACTGGGGCCTGGTGAGGCAGGAGGGGGCTGCCGCCATCTTGTGCTGAAGGGGCACCACACAGGCCTTTGGGCGGCTGTCCCTACACAGCATGAGGGATGTGGCAGTGAGGCCAATATATGGGGAGAAAAAAAAAAGTAAGTGATACCCTGGAGACATCTGTATCAGGTTTAGAAATCCTGTCCAGAAAGGCTGATTCCCAGCCCAACAGAGCCCCACAGGCCTGAGGTGCTCTGGGCCCACTGCTCAGCCCAGGCTCATGGAGGGAAATGTGGTGAACAGCACTTTGCTGACAAGATCTTCTTCCAAGGAAAGGAGGAGAAACATGTCTGGTCATTTATTAGGAGCTGCTGAAACATTTCATTGGCTCATTTATGAAAGCTGGGAATCTAAGAGTTATATAGATTGATTCAAAGCCAGTTGCAGTCAATGAGACTCTCCAGTGAGCTCTAAACCAGGCTGATGATGAGGAAATGAGACTGCTCTTATGTTTGCAATTTCCTTACTGACTCTTTCTTTTCTTACAAGACTCATCATCCCTGCCCAATAAAATGCCTTTAAATTCAGAAGGGCTTCAGCTCTACTTGTTATATTCGATGCATTTCTTTCCATGCTATAACGATGGCTGGCTTCTGAGCCCTCTGTGGCAATGCTATTGGGCTCAGCACTGTTTGTCTTAAACAAGAAACTGCATACTTATAAGAACAAGACTTTTTTCCAAAGGTGCCTAAGGGACTTGGAAATCTCAGTCTAGAAGTCCCGAGACACAGCAATCTTCATCTGCACTCAAAGAAAGTCTAATTATGAACTGAAGGGAAATTGTGAACAATTCAGTGACTCAGTAGTGAAAGGGTTTCCAGACAGAGAGACAGATGTTAAAAGGGAAAGCTGGGCAAAAAGGATTAAGAAGTATGGGACAGATTGGTAAGAAATTGCAGAAACATATAGAGCTGGCCCAATGGATATCAAATTCTTGTTCCCTTGGGTACTAGTGTTGGCATAACATTTTTAGAGGCCAGAGGCACTGGCTCATAGGCGGTAAATATTCAGAATAGTCCTGTTAATGCTGACAATGTAATTTTGACCAACTAGCTGCAGATTAGACACTAACTTTTTCCAGTCAAAAAAACTTTCATAAATGTGTCTGTGAACATGTAACGCATTCCTGTGTATATTGAATGTACTGACCTCGATGGTTGTACATTAACAGTCATTCTGGCCTATGTTTTTATACATAAGACTTTACCTCTTAAATAAGAGTAATTTGGTTGTGCAAGTGCGTGTACATGGGGTAAGGACTTTCAATTACAATATTTTAATGGGCTTTGGATGAAAGCCCCCTAAATCTAGCTAATGGGCACTGGAAGAATTGTGCAAGTTGCTCTGGAAAATCTGACACCACGGAACAATAGCTCTAGTAACACGCTCTCAGTTACGTACTGGCAATGGTGCAGCTGATTCTCCCGCGGCCAGCTCCAATGCAAGTACAGTCCCAAATCATGGAGTCCTTGGGGCGCTCATATGTCTCCCCTACTCGGTAAGTGGATCCAGTGTATTTGTCAAAGCAAGTCTCTTCAGCTACAAGGGGAGAAAAATGAACTTCATGAAACCACACCAGTAACAGATACAGACAACAAGAACATGTTCCTCATCTCCTCCCACAGATGCTCTTTTTTTTTTTCCTGGGGGAAACATGGATTGATCTCTTCCTTCTAAGGGTGGAAGAGTAGAGATGAAGTCAGGTGAAATTCACCCCCTCAGGGTCCCCATGCAGCTAAACAACTACAGCTTCCCTCCCACAGTGAGCCAGGAGCTGAGCATGGCCTGTGGACAGGCATGCCCTGAAAGGATCAATCCCAGCTGTTTGAAGTGCAACACTACAGAAGATGGGGGGAACAAACATCCCCCAGAAGCTGTGGGTTTTGTCATGCTAATGCTCCTCATTCTACCCTGGCAAGTGCTTAAGTATATTAATCCCAATTTCTGCAGCAATCCTACTGCAGTCAACAGGGTCGCTTGTGAGTTGTTCACACTTGCATGTGCGTAAGTGATTCCAGAATGGTTGTGTCAGTGCTGCCATCAGGCTTGAGATCTGCAACAGAACAACTTTCCTGACCTCACCACTGGGGAGATGAAGTTAACTGTGCCATACAGGAAACCTGCAATTGGACTTTGAAAGTGTAAAAACTTGGGAATCCCTGGAGGGGAAAGAAATGTAGATTAAACCCCCCTCTTTATGGAGGAGCAAGGGAACTGTGTACTCCTTCAAATACTTTAGCAGTATTTTACTCAAGCCTTGCCAAACAGATCCCTGGGATGCTCCTATCTGTCTTACATTAATGTTATCAGCCAGGAACCAGTTTTTCCTCTTGTATCTCTAGAGCAACATAAAGGAATTATAGCAAACCAGTGGCTTCAGACCAATAAAGATAAAAGTGTGCATCTGATTATCTGAGCTACACTGCAACTCAGAGACACACATCTTCCTGCAGACGTTGCATTTAAAGCTTTTTTTCCTGTTACCTAAACTTTTCCTGCAGGAGACTAAACAATCTCATTTTACACTCAATTACAGCAAGCTCGCAGCACGGCTGGGGAGCTGTGGAAAGTTGTAAGTTGAAATATTTTTAAACAAGCTGACGACACTGCAGTGCTATGAAAAGTTGGGGTGAAGCAATCAAACTGTACAGAGCCAGAGCTGCAAAGTGACTCCAGATTTGAACTTCCCCGTGCGAGCCGAGGAGTCAGCTCAGTTCGTTATAAAGAGGCTGGCTCCAAAGCTAAGGTTTAGATCCAGTCCTCCCAAGAGAGGAGTGATGTTTGGCTCAGGGTTCTGGTGGCAGGCCCATCTCTAATGAAAAGCATTGCTGAAAAGCCCAAGCCAGATCTTCAGTGTAAGCGAGCGTAGATCCGTTACTGACCCTAAGTACCAAACTTCAGCTGAAACCCCGCTCTGCCAGCTGTAACCCCGTGCAGCACCCAGTTTACTCAGCTTTGAGAGCCCTTTGGGGGTCTTGGTGCCAAAAAAACCCACCAACTTACGTTCGGGCTTGCTTTCGCAGTTAAACCCTCTGCTCCCACCGTAGCAGGTACAGACCAGTGTGTTCCCCAGGTAGATGCGCTCCCACTGCTGGTTTATCTGATAGTACCTCCCATTGTCAAAGCAGGTCTCTGGGGAGAGAAGAAAGAAGTTTCCCATCAGCGAGACCCCAAAACACGGCTCCGGGCAGGCGAGAGGAGAGAAGAAAGAAGTCTCCCATCGCCGAGACCTCCACCCCGGAGACCCCCAGCCGCGGAGGGAAGGCGACCACCGGTGAGAAACCCCCCGGGGACCACCCCCCGAGGCCGAAACCTGCTGCTAGCCACCCAGCCCTGCCCGCTAGCCCTTTGGTACTCACGCTTGCCCTGCGGTGGATTGGCTTGGGCTTGGGGCACGGCGGGGGTCTGCGCCTGCCTCCGGTTCTTCCCTCCCCGCCGCTGCCCTGCGCCCCCTCCCGCTGCCACCCCCAGGCAGAGGGCGAGCAGCGCCAGCCGCCACCCGTTTCGGCACAGCATCCTCCGGGCACGGCTCGGCACGGCTCGGCAACAGGGGCTGCTCGCAGGCAGCCCGGCGGATGGGGCAGCGGCACCGCCCGGGCGTTATATAGTGCTGAAGGCACGCCGCGCCCGGAGCCCATTGGACTCGGAGCAGCCGGGGGCCGGCCGGGGGTTGCTGCCACCGCCCTACACAGCAGAGCTCAGCCCACCCGGCAGCCCTAAAGCAGCACCAAAAGGACTGGGGTTCGGCCGGCTGGGGGCTGCCTGCCCCGAGGAGGGGTGTGGGGACGAGAGGATAAAGGGTTGGGAGGCGGTCGTGGCGCTTTGTGGGGCTTTCGGTGGGGTTTTGCGAAACGGCTTAGCAAAATGGCTCTTTTTCTTCTTTTCTTTTCAGAGGGGAAAACTTTTCTTTCTTTAGAGCGACGCTGTAAGCTGATACGCCTCGGTTCAGGAGGAATAATGTTCTGCACGGGGGGAGAAGGTGAGGCGGAACGCGTGCGTGCAGGTTGGAAACAGGAAACCCCGAGTGGAGTTTTGTCTGCTGCTAGTGGCTCAAGGTTAAAAGTTTTCACACCCCCCTTTGGAAAAAAAAAAAATGGCGCCACTACTTTCCAGTCAAAATAAGTTTAAGAGCCACTTTCTCTGACATTTTTTCTTGCTCTCCAAAATCAATTCTGAGAACAAAAGAAAAGTGAAAAACTGCTAGGCTTTGTACCCCCTCTACATACACAGGATCTTCAGTGTGATGTTCTAACTGAACCAGGCTGTGTACAAATGTTACCGTTCACTTTTGCCATCTCTGCTGCTTGGGGGGTTCTCTTTTCCCCACATTGAAGGAAAGCTGCAAGGCGGAGAGCACGCACTGTAATGGTGGCCCCAAAGCACGAAGCTGCTCATGAGGAAAGCATCGTGCGCTCCCTGCTCTGGTACAGCAGCTGGACCAGCCCTCGAGCTCAGATCATATAGGAGGGTTGCATTGCTAACCATTTTCGTGATGACTTTGCATGCATACTCCATCTTTGCAAAGGGATTGTTGATCTAATAGTCTGCTCTGGCTCCTGATTTATTAATAGAATTCTTCTGACAAACGTGGGCGCAAAGTAGCCTACGGTGTTTCCAGGAATCTTAAGCTGAACACCTACAGGTCTCCTTGAGAGTTCTTCAGTGAGTTGGGCACCAAGCTCTGGTTGCACTTAGGGCAAACTGGTTGTATTACCTCACCAAAATGCAGGCAGTAACATCCAGCTTGGGATGGAGACTGTTTCTCTAGGCAGTGCACAGGTCCAGCATGTGCATTGCCCCAGGAAAGCAAACAGTTGTGCTGTCAGGTGTGTGTTTTCAAAGAAATTTCTGTTCCATCCTATGAGGAACTTCCACAGACCCATTAGCACGAGCTTCCCTGCTGAAAGCTTACTGGAAATTGAAACCTGACCTGGCAATTGAGGTGAGCTGCGGTGAGCTAATTCCCATCTTTCCAAATTCTTATTTTTAGATACACTGCACTGCGTTCTTATTGAGTTACCAGAGACACATTATCCCTCAAAATAATCACACGAGTAAAGTCGCCATAGAGCTTTTGAAGCGGGGCACATCATCGTAATGAGAACCTGCTTTCAAACAGCTTTCCTGCTTTTTTGAGACCTCAGTTATGAAGTGTTGGCCTGAAATGCCAGCTTAAAACAGCTCTGGAGTTCTCTGATAAAACCAAGCTGAAAAGAGCATTGTGAGAAGGTGATGCTCTAAGGTTGTTTATAATTGGGTTGTACTTTACCTAATCTACTCCAAAGGAAGCATTACTAAGTGGAAATCAGTGGAAAAGAAGAGGTTTCATTCCAGGAAACACATATGTGCAACGGGGAGGTAATTTTAGGTCCTTTTTCCAAGTACTGTACGTAGGTCTTGGTCAATTTTTCAGCTTCTGTTGTGCAGTATGAAGCATAGAGCTTCTTCTGGGTGGTGCTTGCTTCTCCATGCGCTTCCAATGAGCACATGAACACGTCCCACTGCTGTGAGCTGCTAATTAAGCACAATTGACATGGAAAAGGAAAGGGTAATGAGGAATCTTCAAGTACAAGAGGATTATGGCAAATAAAAATCACTAGGGGAAAATTTAGAACTATAGGAGCTAAGTGCAGGTAATCCGTAATGAGCTGGCTAGGGTGGAACAAACATGTAGAAGCAACAGCCTTCACTGTGGAGCAAGACCCCATTGATCCTGAGTGCTTCAGGGGTTTTACAACCTCTGTAGGTCTGGGTGCATCGCACCTACCAGCTCTCTGCAAGTGTAAGAGAAGGGTTGCTGCTCCCAACACTAAGGCTTCTAGATCCCTTTCCAGTGTGCTGCTTTTAGTGACCCAATTTCCAGACTGCTGCTTTTAGCAACTGTTTTAAAATGGCATTTAAAAGCTGCACATCCTGGATATACTCCATGTGAAGGCTAAATGATCGACTGTTGACCTCCTTTATGTCTTTTGTTGTTCTGCATTGCACCTGAGTCTTCAAGGACAACGTGAGTATTTACACAGAAATGAAAATGGCATTCAGTCTGAAGCCTGAATGAGAAATACAGTGTTAACAAGCGTGTGACTGTGTCTAATGCTTACCACAGCACTGGTTACACAAAGAGAGAGACAAATGTAAGAATCTTGTTTAAGAAAACATTACTGGAAGCATATAAAACAAAATTATAATTTTCAGTGATTCTCAAATTAGTTTCTTCCATAGCCATCATTTATTAGCAGACAGAAATAATCTAAGGAGTCGTATTTCAACAGAATTTGAAACAGGCTGGTTTCACTTCTAAAGGAATCTATGACATTAATTATGACACAAGCATGCAGTAATTATTATATTGCATGCTGCTAGACTTTCTGAGATGTCTGTAAGCTATTTCGGGAAATGGATGTGACTCGTTTGTCTGTCCTTCTCTTAGTTCATCCCTTGAGCTAACAGGAATGAAAGAAAGATTCACCTGAAGTCTTTCTTAGGATGAGATCACTTTGAATTTATAGCACCTTTCCATGCTTCTGCATCCCAATAAGGATTAAGGACGTCCTAAACCTCAGCTTTAGCCATGGGGATTCTGATTCATGTTCTTGCTCTTTTTTTTTTCTTTTTTTTTTACTGAAATCCTAACTTTTTCACTCTTGGTAGGATAGGCGCATGCCCTTATAAGGTTCTCCTGACTTCTCTTGCTCCATCACACGGCTCTGCAGATAAGCCTCTCCACTGGGCTGATTTGATTTCCTCTGCCGCACACACTGGTTGGGGACTGCAGATACGACTGGGAGCGCGGTCGGGCCCTGTAGCTATTCTCCTGTGAGTTCTGACAGCACAGAGGGAATGTGAATCAGTATGGAAAGCACCAAGCCAGGTCACTTGTTATTTTTTTAGCAACCTTAGAAGGATGGCCACACTGAGCTTAATTATCTCCTTCTAAAATTATCACTCATAAGAACAAGAATCGTAAAGACAATAGGTCAGGATTCCTTTCCTTCACATGGAGAGACCATTAAACGCTTCCTGCAGTTCCCAAATATTTTGCAAGAACTCCTGTTGCGAGCTGAAAATTTCTGAATCATCAGAATTTCGAGTCTGTGGTTTTCGTTAGGTCAGAGCAAAATTCATTTCAAGGCTTGCTGAGGCTCTGCCGCACAGTGCTTCATTCACTCCTGAGCGCAGCAGTCCGGAGTGTCTCATCCAGGAATCTGGAACATCACTCCTTAAATGAAATCCATTCCTTCTGCCGCTTAACTGCAGCTTCGGTGGAATGTAACTTTATGCCTGCTCTTGGTGCAGGAATGAATCGCATCGTGCATAAATGGTCCCTAACAGGGCATTAATTACAACTTGGCACTCTTGATGGAAATTCCCTGCTCCTCTCCCTCCTCCCCAGTCTTTCATAACTAAATGTTCAGTGTCATCAAACCCAGAAAACACATTTCCTTTCTGTAGCTGTCTGTGGATTATGTTACTTCATTTGGTCGACCCGAACTGTTGTAGTTTACCAGTGGTGAGAAGTTCATAGCCGTGCAGCTCTTGTTTTGCAGTCGGTTCTGCAGTACTGTCAGCCACAGGTGTTTAACACCCATGAATCTGTCCCTGGCACGAATCTGTCCTGTCTCAGGCAAATGGTTTAGTGTCAGGATTAGAGATTTTCATTCTTTTTCATTTTTGGGGAGGAGGTTTCAGTTTGTTTGTTTTTCTGATTCTGCAAGGAGGATTTGCGTCACATACGAAGCAATTCAAGAATGGTAACTGAGACTCTGACGTGCTTCCGAATGCCAGAACTTCAACCAAAATGAGCCCTGTGAACTGGCAGGCAAGGAGCAAGTGACAGACCCTCATCCACAGGACCAGCTTTTGGAAGAGCAATACTAGCTTAAAAGACCTGACAGCCTGTTTGTTGCATTTTGAGATGTTAGGTAGAGATTTTCACAGGTACCCAAATCTTGCTGAGCTGGGGGTGACAGGTCATCCATCGAGAGCCTGAAACACCCTTCGCAGTTACCTGGGAAGAATTTCAATGCCCCGTGTTGTGTGCAAACCTGTACAAGTTAGGCATGGATGAAGGAAGGAAAAAAGTTATGCCAGCTGGAAAAGCACAGTTTCTTATGGCTGTTATTTTCTTTCTAATTTCTGTATTTTGGCCCAAATCCCACTTGGTGCTGGTGATGAGGGAAGGCTCCAAATTCCAGTGACTGCTTTTATTTCATCGTTACAGAATTCTAACGACAATTTGACTTTGGAATAACAGAGGGGTTTTGTTCTTTTAATGGAAGGACAATGTTGTTAGAATAACTTGTCTCCCTCAAAGCCCAGCAACTGAACTGAAGCCCTTCCTTTTTCTGCAGCAGCCTTAAAATATTAAAGCGAAATTAATAACGCTGATATCACCACCAGCAGCATGAGGTGAACTTGGCCGCAACCCCGGGTGTTTGAGTGCAACTGCTTTTATTCTCTCTCAGCAAATATGGCAAATCACACCAACGCTTGTTTGGTTTTAGGCAGGCCTGGTCAAAATCCAGAAATAAATGCTAGCACTGGGTTGAGCTTGGCTTGCTGCGAGGAAGTTGAATACACTGAGCAAGCAAACAGCTATTTATTATGATGATTATGGGGGAGTGCGTAACGGGTTGAAATTGAGAGTCACAAAGGGCTGAACTGAGCCAGGAGCATCCAGAAAGAAACTATTTTGGCTCCGAGCTGCAGTATGTCCCCTGTTTCCTTCTTACCCCTTCCACCCAGCCTTACATGGAGCCAAGGAGTGTGGATAGTTCTTTGCTGCCAATTTTGAAAGTTTTTTTTTTATTTCTTCTTTTACTGTTGGTAACCTGATTTCTTGGCTGCAGTCTCATGAGATGAGAGAAGCTCTCACTTTCACTTGTTTTTCAGCCCTGCCCAGAAGTTCTCGTTGGCTGTCTTTTATACTTTCCAGCTTCTGAGGAGGAACTTGGGTCTTCTGCCTGCCTCTGTTATCGTTTTCTTTTCCCTCTTCTTCCACCCTCTCCCATCTGCTAGCCCAGGTCTCCTGGCCAGCCAGATGCTCCTTGGTTCTGATGTATTTGTTTGAATTTGGTTGTTTCTGTGGCCTAGCAATAGTGGCACTTCTCCTGTGGGCCTTCCCAGCTATTTCTCTTTTGTGGGTGGGAATGCCAGCCCAGAGAGGCCCAGAATAAGGCATAAAGGCTGCTCCTGACTTATTCAAACCCTTCTTGGAAGACGAAGCTGCATGTGTTTTGCTTCTAGCATGAAACGTTAGTGAAGCAGGGCTGGAGTTTCCTTCAGTGTCTATCACTTACATTCGCTTGCTGTGGATGGGTGTCTGGCCGCCTTCAGGTCAGTGCAAGGAATTCAGAAATCACTCGGAGCCAAGGAGTTTGCAACACGTGTGTCATTCAGTAAAAACTGCATCATTCAGTATCCTACCTGTGGCCTTACACAGCATATAACCGGTCTGAAGTCGAGACCTCCTACAGGTATGGTTCTTGTCTAGGGAGCTTTGTGAGTGAAGAATTTTGGTCCTATTGTAGAAAGGTATTGAGATGGGATTTCTCCTGCCAAGTCACTTCCATGGGAAGTCTCTAGCTGTGGAGTCAGGCTGAGAAATGCAGCTCTGTCAGTCCTACAGCTCACTGCCTAGCTGATCCTGGTGCAGCTCCAGGTTAAAATTTAGGTGCTCTTTGGTAGTTGCTTTTTCACCTATTGATTTGCTTGCATACAGAGTTAAGTGAGCATCCCGAAGACTGTTCCTGGCCAATTTATTTTAACTTCTTGCTTGTTAACCTGCTTGTGTTAGAGGCATACTGACCTTTGAGCTTAGCCTATCTTGCCTCTAAGGCTCTGCAAACAACCGGTCTCCAAGCCAAGTTACTTCTCTGGCTGTCTTAAATGTACACAGTATCATACATGTATGGTACCAAACCCAGGTTTGTTTAAGTATTTTATCTGGCTGAATGCTGGACCTCATGGCAAAGGCCTTTCTGTACTGACTCAGAGAATTTCTGCTCTGTCATTAATCCTTTGAATAACTCCTTACTTTGATTATAGTGGGCTGGACATTTTTTATTTCTTTGCTGGCACTCACAGCTGATAATAGTCTGCATATGTTTTTTGATTATAGTCCTTGTTCTGGTTTTGGGGTTGCTTTGCATCTTGGACTGGTTTGGAGTTCTTATTTTTAGTCTGTACTGAACTATGTATGCATGAAATCACACGGATTTGGAGCTGACACTTTCCAACAGTCATCACTTACTCCTTTTACCTTTCTGACAGTATCTGTGGAATTTACAGCGTTCCTCATTCTTGAAATGACAAATTATTGTAATAACAATAAATAGACACCATTTTCACAGGCCATTTTACGTAATTCGTTCTGCCATTGCACTGAGCTCATACTGTCAAGCCTGCAGGCGTTTCTGTAAGCAAACTGAAGTCCTGCTGCTGATAGCATTTAGCTGCTGATCTGTATACAAGTGGCGGAGCTCGATATGCTGCAGGAGGATTTCTGCTGGGACGTCACACGTGAGAATGAGTGAGTTTGCCCAGAACAAGGAGCTGTGCCCAATGCTGCAGAAACTCCTCTCGCTGCTTCCAGGTGCTCACACACCACTTTAAAGCTTCAAAGTGTTTCGCAGGCAGGTCGTCCATCACGGCTCGGGAAGCTGGTGATTCAGACACATCCCTTCTCCTGCAGAAGCCTCCTTTCAAGACCAGCAAACAGGCCTTTTAGTGGTGTACGGGGAAGGGACGGCCTCATAATTTAACCTACACTTTCTTGTCTACACCTCTCCCGTACAGGCACAGGAGCAGTTGCCAGGCAGGCACTTAGACAGGTAATGGATGGAAAACTAAATCCCTTACGTGATTACTTGAGGTGATTGCAGTCCAGCCTGTTGAACTGAGTGATGTAGTTCATGCTTTTCTTAAAAGGAGAAGTATTTGGGCCTGCTAGCAGGTTGATCTAAGGACTTTCTGAATGGGATAAATATTAGCATAGAAGGAGAGAAGGAAAAAAGGGGCTTCAGAAAGAAAGAAAACATGAAGTAGTTTAACACGGTCTGGGGAGGAAAGTTTCCCATTATGCTGTCCAGCATGGTTTCTGGCAACACCAAAAAAGCTGAGCATAATTCTTGAGTGAAGTAGGAAGCTTTGCAAGGATGCATCATATCTTGTGGTCATATGCTAAAAACAAATATCCCAAAGCACTTGATGATGCATCTGGTATTTGTACTCATTGAATATGCCCCAAGCCAGCCGTATTTATTGGAGGCACATTTTTTCTTACCCAGGTCATGCAGAAGTTAAACCAAACATTACTTAAATACGTATCATCCAATCGGGGTATTAATCTGGATAGATTAGTTTAAACCCACTTGCTGTTCATGGCAAAGCTGAAAGATTTATTGAAGCAGAAAGACTCTGAAGCTTCTACCTGCTTCAGAGTCTGCAGATATACGTTGTTTCTGCATTTGATTATGCTCTCTAAATTTATACACAATTTGGAAAGAGATCATAACTTACTTTCCAGGAACAGCATTCATATTTTCCATAGAGTGTATTAGGATACAGTGCAGATTATGTCCACGTTAAATGAAGGGAAAGTTTTTGACAGCGTGTCTCTTCAGTTAGTTTACAATCAGAAATGTTGTGTGTCATACTGAAAGTAGGTGCTACCCGTGGCATTTATCTCCTGACTGACACCTCCTCCTCACTCTTTTCAAGTTCTGTTTCAGAGGTGTTCAGGGATGTGGAAATGTGAGGCTGTAAAAGATGCATTAAGTCTCTGGTCTTTAGAGAATATTTTGGACAATCTCTTCTGAAACAGAGCTTCTAAAAATTAGTCTTTTTTCCTCTGGCAAATATCACAGCCTGAGACATTTCTCATGCAGAAAGCCCCGAAGGAGAAAGCAAGAAGGAGAAGAGGGAAACATAGCTTTGATAGGATTTATTTATTTATTTTTATAAAAGGTGGAGCATCTGTGCATGGGAAAGAAATGTTTAAGACAAAGACATTCTAAGGATCTCAGAAAAATCAATGGCATATAACCCATGTTGTTGTAAGATGCCTACATGTGGTGGAGCTTTGGGCTCTGAAGCACCGGTGCTGAAGCACCTCTGAGCCGCGTGGCACCTCTGAAGCATTGGAGACCTAAGGCTGTTTGACAGTCCGGGCCCAAGAGTCTTGTGAGCCCAGGTGTCACCGAAAGACGGTCTGGTTTAGGTTCCTTGGATACCCAGGTCCCCTCATTGAGGCCCAGAGGCACACAGAGCCTGGTCAGAAGAGCACCGAAGGGAAAGCAGGTCGGTTGTGCTGAATTCCCAGCTCTTGTTGGCTCACGGCTTAGGGAGCTGTGAGGGACCCTTTGTAGCTGAAAAGCTCAAATCCCGATCCTGCAAAGATTCATTAGTGTCTGGCTTTACCTACGGCAATCATTCCACCATGTGATTAACCTTAGCTGTCACCTGAATAAAGCTGGGCATGTGCTTTGTCTCTCCAGGGCCTGCTCCCTGCCCCCCTGGAGCAGCATTTAAATACATCGGTATCCTCAGCCTCGCCACTGCGAAACTGTGTAGGAATCAGCTGCACGACAGGGTCATAAATTACACGGCGAGCAGAACAAATCTTGGCCACAGATCATAGCTGCTGGAGGGATGAGGGCTATGGTCGACACATGAGCAGGAAAGGAAAGGAAGACTAATATTTAAGAGGAAAGAAGAAATTTTACTACTAGACTGTTGTGTTGAAATGAGACCATTTCTGACCTTGGTTTCCTTGGGAGCAGGCTTGGTCTCCTGATTTGTTTAATGTTTGTCTTTTTGTCTAACCTCTCAGGGAAGGATTGATGCTTTAAGACCATTAGAAATCCTGCTTTCTTTATAGAAAAGCCAAAATCAAAGCCATAAAGTGCAATCGCCTTCAAGCAGGCCACATCAATCCCACAAAAGCATATATACTGTGCGTGCATATCTCTAAATCCACAAACTACATGTCTAACCTTTCATTTGTGTGTCAGCCTTCCTGGGACACAGGCCTGAGTGTTCTTTCTACGCCTAGCATCCATCCAAAAGACTAAACACCATTACCACGTAAAATCCTTCCATGTCCTTTGAAGTTTCACAGCCCAAATCTCTTCGAACTGCATTCTAAAACTGCAGTGTGACTTTAAGAGGTGGCTGGAAAAACTTCAAACAATTAGAAATACGCACACAAAAACTCTGCGCTCAGATGAGGTAATTCACAAGAGGCTTTCCAATTGGCCTTTTGGAGACCAACTATTTTATATATAAATGTCAGCGTTAATTAAAAATCAGCACAAAACAAGAAGTCGAAGCCATAATACTCTAGTTTGTTCTGAGTACCCTGATTAAGCTCTTCCCCATTAGTAAGAGTTGATCGCTCTTCCTGGAGGTGGTGAAGCTTTCTAAAGGGGAGAAGCAGAAATGAACCCACCTGGAGGATGCAGCCCATCAGATGATTTCATACTGAAACAAACACATGGAGAGTAATTTTCAAGGACACTGTGGGTCCTTGCGTGATGCCTGCTTAATGATGAAAGCCGAGTGTCCTAAACCCTTTGGCAGCTGTAAAAATCCCTCCCATGATTTAAGCATTTTGGCCAAAGTCCCCTCCCTGGAGAGCTGCTGTTGTCTGCGTGGGCTTACACCATGAATCAGTGAGACCTCCAGAGGTAATATTTGTATGCTCTTAGCTGGCTTTTATGAGTGTCACTAAACAGGCTTTTTAGATCCGGAGGAGATACCAGAAATGTGCCTTCCAGCGCTGCTGCTTGTATCCAGGCCGATGGAGGGAGTAGGAAATGGCCTGAGCTTAATCCATCCTCAAGACAATCTTAAATGATTAATTTGCGGTTGTCCTTGAGTGCCACACAGCAGGTTTCACTGCTACTGAGTTTTTTTCCAGAAATCTGCTTATTTATTACTGCTACACACATTACTGCATTTTTTTAGGGCTGGAAGAATGTGCCGGTGCTTTCGAGGCATGATTCGGTGCCTCGCTAGTGGTTCACACACTTAAAAACGTTCCTAAATCTCAGCATTTTAAAGCGGAAAACATTCAAAGATAAAATTAAGGTCAAAACCACGCCCCATATTGTGTCCAGTGCTATAAGCAGTTTCTTTTTATGGATAAACAGAAACACTGCAAACATGCCTCTGCTAATGGTGACTGCTTTCATCCTGAAGTCCTGCTAGACCTGAATTCTCTCCTAAAGGCTGCCTACAATGTTAATTAAATGGTGAATTTTCCTTCTTGGGCTATGGCAGATGCTCGTGGTCCTTGTGGTAGAAAGCTGTCCGGCAGCGTGAGGTCCCCTTGTGCAGGACGGGGTGCTCAAGGTTTCTCTCCTCGTTTCAGCTGCTTGCTTGGTCAGGTTCAGAAAGTAGAAAGAGAGCTGATACATCACAAACACTCCACATCCTGCTCATCCATGGTTAGTGCCTTTGATCCTTCCTTCTGACATGGGGTTTAGGGCAAGGAGGAGTCTGTAAGCTGTCAATCCCCACACCTCCCTGGTGGGGAAAGGTTCCAGGTGTAAGAAACAGAGATTTAGACCATCCGTGACTGCTGTAATGAACGTGTTCTTGTTTGCATAGATAATTCTAGTAAGGTGTGTGTTACAAGAGAAGGTTCATCTCCAGGGAAGGTAGCACTTTGTGACCTTCAAATGCCAGGCCAGATTTCAGTCTCTGATTTGTTTTGCCACAAAGAAAGAAGAGAGTTCATTTACAAAACTGAACTCTTGATGCTGATTTTAAATCCAAGCATAGCTTTAGGGTGTGTTGATCCAGAACTTTTAAATTTAGACTCATATTCAAATTGACATTCATAAATCTGCTAGCTTGTATAAATTCCATATAAATACACAAAGTGCGTAATGCTCAATGAATGGGAACTAGAAGACACAACCTTCTTAAAGTAGAGCTGCAAGAGCCAATAATAGGGACAGCATCGCAAACGCATGAGTGAAGACCCCCAAAAAAAAGGTTTTCAGAGGGAAAAGGCTCCACAAATAGCTGTAACCGCATGGCAAGGAGTGGGAAGCAGTCTTCAGTCTTTCCTGCTGAGAGGGAGTCTGAGCGAAGCTGCAAGCAAATGCCGAATCCCACAAAGAAGAAAGGGAACTTTTCACCTGTCACCATTTGCAAGTTGCCAGAGGCAATGAAAATGTAAATACAATAACTCACTGCAGTAGCAATAGCTTTGCAGTGAACTGCAGAGTCACCCTAAACCCCTGTTATATTGTAAGGGTATGCGGAGCGTGATGAATGCTTCTGGTTTAAAATATTCCAGAGAGAGCATTTTTTATCTCTCCCCTTCCAGACTCCTACCAACTGTGTTTGCATCTAATAAAATCCAGATGCTTCTCGAAATAAAATCACTGCTATATTGGGTTGCAAAACTTTTGAAATTAAGGTTGGGACATTTTTAGCAAATGTTCCCTTTTGCTGTAGTGGACTCCAAGAAGCAAGCAGTAGGTTTTGTGACAGCAAAACACAACTAGAAGGTGCTTATTCTTACTCTCAACAGTATTTTTGCTGTGTGCTGCTCTAGTGGGCAGTTTCTAATACTGTATCTAATATTTGCAGACAGCTAGATCTTGGAAAAATACTTGATTTCTTCTGATTTCTTCTACCATAGTGTGCATTTACATATATGCAACTACGTGTCCTCTGAAAAATACTACAGGCTGCCAAGATGACCTGAGGAATTAAATTGACAGCATGAGCAAGGAGATTTGCAAGCATGCTTCCAGTGGAAAGCAGTTTTGGATACTACATCAAGGAGGGCTATGAGGGATCCTTGTGATTATTTGCAACACATTGTGGCAGAGACCCAAGCTAGACAAAAAGTGAATTTATAACAGCTCTATTATGAAGGCATTAAGAACCATTTTTTATGCTGGTATTACAGCCTGCTTTCATTTCATTTAACAGACCAAAGGCCTTTATGTGCAAGCTTGTCTTGCACTTAGCTGTCTTAAATCATCTCCACTACAGCTCTGGTAAAATACCTCCACTCCTGGTGTATTTGGTACTGGCTGTGATCCCGCTGCACAGATACTCACCTCTCGCAGAAACCCTCAGGCTGAGCATCTCCCTGAGCAGCTCTGAAATGCATAGATTGCCCCAGCCCAACTGCAATACGGGGCAATGTGCCCCATTTTTGTTGAAGAACTGAAATGCTCTCATTGCAAGGCCGGTCCCACTGCGTTCAAAAGGAACTCACATGTGGCCAGACACTTCTGAAATCCTGTTTCCCTTCCTGGAGCAAATGCGTCTCAAATAATCACCGACTGCTTTTCCCTAGGGCTTCCTTGGGGCAGGTGCTAGATGGAAGGCTAACTATGCTTTTTTTTTTTTTTTTTTCTGACTTTTTTTTTTTTTTTAAATTCTCAAATTCTTTTCAAGTCAGAAAACTTTGGGAGCCCTCCCCTTTGAAACACTGAAAGTTTTACCAGTTTGATGTCCATGAAAGTGTCTGGTTATCCTGATACTGACTTGAAAAACAATACCGAGGGAACTCAGGAAGGAAATATGTTAATGCAAAGATTGTTTCCTGCAAAGTATATTAAAGAGCCGTGGAAGCAGCTGTCAGGTTTGGATGTTGTAAGTGGGAATGACAAAAGGCACAACAAATGAAAGAGAAGATGGAGGAGATGTCAGCTCTGCAGACCTTAATGTCAGCCACTTCGTCTGTGTGTATGCAAATGCATGCTAGTTTGTTTTAAAGATGTTATTGTACAGAAGATAAAGAAGATTCAGGGCCTCGAGTGTATTTAGATTCATAAAACACTTGTCCTGAGAACAAAGAAGATGAATTGAGTCTTCAAGTCAAGAAAGAAAGTCAAGAAAGAGTCTTTCGCTGCTTTTCAAAAAAAAATCCACACCCTGCCTGCTTGTTTTCAAGGCCTGTCATCTCTGTCTCCGGTTAAACACATGCTGGGCTTTTGTGTTGAAATGCAGGTGTGTAAAGGTGGACAAGAGCCACAGCTCGTATTTCACACCAGGGGAACCCTGAGAAGTCCAAGTGACCTGCAACAAGACAGGACCTAAGTACTTTGCAAGGCCAAAGCAGAGCAAACATCTGCCCAGAAAAGTCACAGGTTAGTGTCCTTCAGCTTCACACTGAAGATGTTAAAGTTTCAGATCTGGGCTGCTTTCAAGTCTGTGGCACAGCTCCATCAGTTCTAAGAACTGCAAGACTCCAGCTATTCATCATCTTGACTGCAGAGAGAAATTGGAAGGAGACTTGTTTACTGCAGGGGCTTGCAGTCACTGAAATGTAAGGGGACAGCAATCAAAAGATGGCATGTTCCAGCGCTGTGCTGGAGGAGGCCAGAGGGTAGCTGCTCCAGCCCTCCTCTGAAGGAGATTGCCTCAATAACCCTTGTCAGGGCTGCACCTTCCTAATTCAGAAAGCTTTTCTTAACTAAAGCTAGAAATGATGCTAAATTCCCTGTTGATGTTCCCCAGCAGCCTTGGAGAATGGCTGATCTTGGGTTTCTTACACATGGCTGTGTACGCGCTTTGGGGCTCTAGCACGGTGCCTCTTTTTCTCCTTCCTTCCTTCCTTCCTTCCTTCCTTCCTTCCTTCCTTCCTTCCTTCCTTCCTTCCTCCTTCCTTCCTTCCTTCCTTCCTTCCTTCCTTCCTTCCTTCCTTCCTTCCTTCCTTCCTTCCTTCCTTCCTTCCTTCCTTCCTTCCTTCCTTCCTTCCTTCCTTCCTTCCTTCCTTCCTTCCTCCTTCCTTCCTTCCTTCCTTCCTTCCTCTCTTTCTCTCTCTCTCTCTTCTCTCTCTCTCTTTCTTTCTTCTCTCTCTCTCTCTCTCTCTCTTCCTCTCTTCCTCTTTCTCTCTTTCTTTCTTTCCTGGTAAAATCCAGTTTCTTCAGGTTGTTTGCATCTCATGTCTGATCACCTTTTACAGCTGTCTTTACTGCTCCCTTTTAGGCTCTTTCCAGTCTCCAGCAACCACACTGAAACACTGGAGCACCAGAATAAGAGCAGTGGCATCACATGGGAATTGTCCTCTGGGTGTTGTCTACAATGTAATACTGCTCTTCCCATTAATACAGCCTCAGATGAGACTCATCATTTTTTGCAGCAGGAACTGATTTATATATATATATATATATATCTTTTAATCTGAAGTTTTCTATACTGCTTAGTTCCTTGCTAGAGTTCTGCTGCCAAACCACATACTCTTCCCTTGCCCTTGGGCAATCTTCACTCGTCTCTGTCAGACTTCGGACCTGATGTTAAGGTCATTGTGGATTCTGACACTGCCCTTGAAATTCTTGGAAGCTTGGGTGACTTTTGGATGCACAATCACGGCATTTTTATTCTTGACATTTTTACTAGGGAACCATGTTTTAATTGGAATAATTCGAATTTTTAGCCTAAAATCAGCCCCTGAAAGAAGAGCATTCAGGACTGAAGGAATTCCAAACAAAATCTTATTTAAAGCAAGCCTTATCCTATTTTATCTCTTCCTTCTCTGAAATTTCAGAAGAGATCAAGGAAATAACTTATTCACAGTCTCTATAAATGAGTGCTAGCATTTATGTCGAACGTGCTAATAACGTGCAGCAGCACAAGAGAAGTGGAAACATGGCAAATGCTCCTTTTTTTCCATGCATCCTGCTTACTTGCTGGGGCTGTAACATCCCCAGAAATATGAAAATTTTATGTGCAGAGCAACAGACAAAACAACGGTCAACAAGAATTCCTTGCTTTCTGGCGGCGTTGTGTAAACGCAGCGATGCCGCTCCTAACGCGAGCTGCCCTTTGTGTGCCTCATGCGCATGGGGTTGTGTACGTGCGGCTGTTTTGAAAACAAGCTGCGCTGAATCATGTTGGAAGAGCTTCCCAGCCCCGTGGTGCTGGCAGACCCTCCAGCAGCAGTCTCACGGAAAAATCTGCTGCCAGCGGGCAGGTAGAGAAGGCAATTGTTTTCTCCCTCGCGTCAATGGCAAGGAGTTTTTTTTCTCTTCGCTCTGTATTCCTTAGCAATTGTGTCTGTTTGTGCATTCCTGTCAGTGTATTGAGGGCTGCTGTTCTTCCACCAGCAGGCTTTTAGACACAAACCCACTGGTTTGATCGTCCTCTCTGTATTGCAGCCACGAGAAGCGAGGGATTGTTTGGCAGGTACTCGGTGGGATGGCTTCTTCCTCTTGCAGTAACTTCCACCAGCGTTCTCCATCACAGACACTGGATTTCCCCAGTTCCCACAGCCACCAGTAACACTGTGATTCCTTCCAGTGACTTTGCAAGGAATTAACATCACCAAAAATCAAGAGATTGCCAAAATGGACACACACACTGGTAGGAGAATGCCGCAAGAGGTCCACCCAGCCCCGCCTTCGGTAGGAAAGCTGACCAGGGAGGGTTTGCATGAAGCTACCAGCTCGTTGCTCAGTTGTTGCCTTCCCTGGTGGGACAGAAATCAGAAATCACAGGTTTTGTGGCAGTGCCATTTCTGACAAGTACTCTCAGCCTCCAGGAACCCCACCCCACAGGTTCTTCTTGTGCATCCATGCTGCAGGATGCCTGTGGGCACAAATCCTCCATCCCCTGACTCACCCCAGCCACCTTTGGGCACGAGATCCCGCTTGCTCCTTTCTCTGGAGCCACACTCACCGTGCCTATCACATCATCCCCTGCTCCCTCTGAGCTCTGTATCCCGACTTTCAATTCTGGAGGATGTGCCAGAGGTTAGGCTGAGCTCTGAGAGATAAAGGGAGCATGTCTCACTCCTACAGCTGCCTGAAGGATTTGCTAAAGCTTAAGGTGACTGACAGCATTTTGAGCTGCACAGGGGGATCAGTGGAGGAATTACAGCACGTGAAATGATAAACGATGCACAGTTAAACGCCCAGATTATTTATTGGGTTTAAGTTTTAGCAGTGAGTTGTCTATGTTTTTGAGGGTTATTTTTGGATTAAACCTTTCCTTCCTGGCATACTCCCAATCTTTGGAGGAACAGCTTAGCAGGACTATTATGCCATTTTGCCTAATACCCTTTCAGGCTTCTTCGTACCGGGAGCTATAAAAGGACGGTGTGTAATCTACCCCAGGTTACAAAACCCTTTGGGCACACTGAGAGTCACACCTACCTGACACCAGGATCCTGACTGACCTCCGGGCTGAGGGATGACGCTGTAGGAACAGAGATAAACTGGGCCCTTGATGTATCAAGATGAGTCTGATGTCACAAGCAGCAATTTCTGCATAGAGATTAGATGTATCGGCTTGCAGTTTTAGAAGACATTCATTCAGGGAATTCTTGCTTTGGCTTGAGCACGTGAACCCCCTCGAGAGAGGCTCTACAGCCAGGCTGCCCTTGCCCTAATTAATTCTCTTGTGTATTGGCATTTACAAGCAAATAATTTGACTCTCTACACTTTATTAAAACGCATATTGTAAAGTGCTTGGCTAAAAGAGGAAATGAAATTTTCCTTTCACACCCAAGCCCCTTCCTGGTAATGCGAATACCCCGGCACTACAGCAGCCAGCCCGTTGTGTGGACGAGGCAGGGTGAAACAGAGAGACTTTGCATTGAGGGTGATGGAGAACGGTTGTGTGGGCACAAACTCCTCCTGCTGCAGCGCTGGGGAGGATTGGGAATAACCTGGCCAGCTCGTTAGCTGGTGTGCATCGGCGTGATTTAATTGATTCCAGAGGAGCCACTCTTCCTGACACAGCGGGGGTGGAAATCTTCAGCAAGGCTTGCGCCGAGGACCTAGCTATTCACGAGCTGTCTGCTACAAAGCTTTGTTTTTTACCATAGGCAGCTCTGAAGCTGGCTGGAAATGAAGGGTTCGGGGGAGAGGCCATGGGTGCAGCTATTGCAGCTGTTGCACAGTTGGGAAGGGAGACGTACTCCACAGGATACTTTGATCAGGCAGCTCCATCCTGTAAGTGCTTTTAATTATTCACTAGAATAGTTATTCAGTGGAAATACTTATTTGAGGATAATTACTCAGAAGAAAGTAGCCATGACAGGAGGAGTGAAGCAGCGTATCTGCACAACATCCACGCAGAACAGCGTTTACGAGAACAAGAGGGAAACAGGCAACTTTCCTGCTGGAAACCACAAGGGCAATTACAAGTAGGCGAAATCCCATTTGTAACTGAGCCAGGGCTGTGGGCTATCACTCCCACTCTTGTGGCAAGTGAGGTGGGGTTTTTAACGATGAGATACAGTCAAGGGTTTGGAGTGATGCCTCCCGTGAGAAGCGGGAGGATTCCCTCCCATTGACACGCTCTCTGTCCTGTATCCTCAAAGTCAAAGCACTAGAAATATCAGCAAAACGTCCATGAGACGGATAGGCAGTCATATCTGGCATGTTGCTAGTATCAAATATCTCTCAAAGTGGCATAAAATTCAATTTTTTCAAAGTTTGATTTCAAAACTTACACAAAAAATTACCTTTAAAGCCTAGTGGAATATGGGTCAGATTGCTTGGAAAGCAAACCTTTAATTTGGAATGGAAATAAATGCTTGAATTGCAGGACTTCAGAAGTGACTTGGGTGCACATCTGCCCTGATCTGAAAGACAGATTGCTTGTTTATTAGCCCAAACACAGCTCTCTGCTAAGGCTCACTGGTAGGTAAGAAATTCAGATGAGTTAGGGCTACCTTCACCTTTCTGCACAGGTTTGTCCCTGACGTCTGTTAATTACTTTTAGGTTCTACAGTCTTGGGGAGGCCACCAGCTGAAAGCAAACACCTCTTTCCTCTATTTCAGGATCTGTGGAGAAGCAGAAACATCAGGTTCTCCGTGATTCCAAACCTGCAATGTTCAATACGAGTTGTAACATGCGGGACAGGGCTGCTTCCCTTCAAAGGCTTTGTCGTAAATGCCTGCATGGGGTACATCAGCTCCCGCTGCACGTCACGCATGGCTGGACTCGTGTCCCACTCTCTTGCAAAACCTGCTCCATCCCCTGCTCCGGGAAGCAGCCGGCAGTGGGCTGATTTGAAAAATAAGGATGGAATGTGCTCTGAGCTGGGGCGGCGGTGACGGCGGTTTGGATCGAAGGGAGAGCAGCTTTACCTTCTTAATCATCCCATGTTTGCTTAATTATCCCAAAGCATGTCTTTCATTCCCCTGCCCCCTCTGAGAATGTGAGGCGGGCTTGTTTTAACTCTTAGGAAGTATGAAAGGTGAGTTTCCCCTTAATTCAACATATTTCCGAGTTGCGCACTCTCCCCCCAGAACACAGCTGCTTTGACTGCTGGTTTTTGTTTGCTTTTCTTCCAGCACTCTTGCCTTTCTTTGGCCTTTTTTTTCCATCTTCTCCTCCTCCTCTTCTGAGTCATCTGTTGACACAACTCAGCGTTGGCCCTAGTTGTTATAGTGGGAGATTGTTGCTGTGTACAGGTACAAAGAAGGACCTTTTTTTTCGTGCTAGACATGTGAACACCGAAGCTCCCTTCGATTCTTTTTCTTCGAAGTCAGGCATTTAGTGTCAGGATGTTCAGGCTGGTGTGAGGTTGCTTGCACTGAGCTATTCCAGTGGGCACCAGCTGGAGTCGATGGAGGTGAGGGACACGCTGTGAATTCCTTTTTCCTGTTTTCAGCCAGCATCTCCCTGCTCTGAAGTGATCTTTGTTCACCCCCCAGGCTAGCCCAGGTGGAAGCTGCCATGGCAGCTTTGAAAGGTTCCTTTATGTGTCTGCTTGCCCAAGACATATCACAACAGCGTGACGCAGCGCTGCGACAGCTGGCTATTTATATCCTCTGGTTGGTGTTGTGGGAAGAGGGACGTCTGTGTACCCTATGCCGAGGCACGTATAGCGTCCTGGAGTGACCTGAAGTTTGATTGATTTTTCCCCAAACGTCCTCACTCTCTTCCGTAGCCCTGTTTTGCACGCTGCATGAATGCAAAATGTTTCCAGTACCATGAAGGCATAAAGAGCCCTGCCCTGATGTCAGGTTGTAGTTGGTAATGAAAAATAGGAAAAATAGCTGAGAACAACTCAGCTGTGGCATGGCCAAGGCCATTCCGTTGTGGCACTGATTCCCATCTCAGGTTAGTTCAGCTGCCGTCTTGTCCTGATTCTCGGACCTGATCGTTTTGGATGACCTTAATCCCTTTGACTGCAGGAATCTGGCTGCTCCTGTGCAAGGTGATCTCCACTCCTTGCCTCCTTCCTGCTATCTCTTAGTGATAAGAAGGTATCACTGGCGAGAGACTGGGCTGATGGGTTTAAAAAACAGCACGTCTGCCTTCTTAGGTAAAATAGCTTTGAATTACAAACAGCTCTTACATGACAGAGATATTCTTCCCCAAAGAAATAAGAGACTAAGGAGCTGCTGGACTGACCACTTAGCTGGTGTCAGAGGAATTGGTGTGCTGCTCCTGTTCCCTCTGCAAGAACTCTTTGGTGCCTTCATCTCTTCTGTGCCTGTGGCCTTTCATGCTGAAGCAGTAACTATGTTAAGGCAAGGCCTTTCTTATAGTTTGTTTTACAAAACGTCATGCATTAGAGTTCTTCATCATCATTTTAGGCCTTGTGGTGCTAGCATAAGACAAAAGCTAACACTGCTGTCTCCGATTTCAGAGCAGGTATGTTTAATGGAACTTTTTTCTAATCCTTTAATGATGCCCTTTGCTTTTAGAAGGATTTCTGGCCTTTCTATTCCATCATTATTCTTTTGTCTGTACTCTTCCTTCTCCAGGTGACAGCTCAGTGTTGCATGGTTATTAAACTGGTCTTCTCTCTGCTCAGAAGACAGCGTACAGCAAACATGCATTGAGACTCTCTGATAAAGATGGATGAATCTGTGTTTATTTTCCAAGGGAATCCACAAACCATTTCTCCAGCTCAAAGCAGGGCTGATTTTGCTTTGACGGGTTTTATGATCCCTCTTCTTTGTTTTCTGCAAACGTCTGTCCAATCATTTTTTTACAACAATATATTTATGGAAAAGAGCATGTCTCAAATATGGAAAGGAAAAAGTGTGGCACGCTCTGAAAGTATTTGCTTGACTGTTTTGGAATTTTTTGTGGGTGTTGGAGTGTTTTAATCATTCAGTAAAAACAATGCCATGTAATTTAGCAGTTCAGAGGCCATTTACACAGCCTACTCACTATTCCAAGGCTGGAATCCATTCATCTAGTCTTCAACACCAAAGGTCCTCTAAAATTGGCTTTATGAAGTTAGGTGTTTTCATTAACATGATTCCTAAGTGGAGCCCTTGCTGAAGAGCTCAAAGCTCGTTCAGAAATAGCCATAAATTTTCCCCCCTATGGATCTTTTCAATAACATGTTGTAAAATGCTTTACCATCAGTTTGTACAAAGATTAATTTATTTTTTAAAAAAGAGTTCATTGTAGAGGAAGTGAGTCAATAACAGGGGAAATAATCCCAAAGAGATGGACCCACACATATGAAATAACAATCCTCCAGTGGCATGAAATAGGCAGAGCAGAAGTACAAATACAAGTAATCAGATGAGTCTCTGGGGGACGAAGTTAGGATGAGATCAGAGCAGTAGGATGAGATGAGAACATTGGAGTTCTTTAAAATCCAGGGAGTGACTCTTAATTGGATTTAATGCTGCATAAATATTTAAGAGCATAAAACCAGTCAATGCCTCTGAAAATAGGGGAGATTTACTCCCATTTCTTGCAGCAAGAGATTGTTCTGCTCATGGATTTGGGATCCTCACAAGTTTCTGAGGGCAGGGATTTGGGAGTTTATTACAATACAGAAATAATTTCAGGAGGCATGGCCAAGAGAAGAACAAATGCTAAACCCTTTCCATCCACAAAAAATTGTTGGAAGGTAAACAAACAAACAAACAACCAGGTAATAGTATCTTACTTACCAACCACGGGACATTAAGCGGAGAGCTTAATTAGTTACCTGGTGATCAATAGAAACAAGTGGGGTCTTAGAAAAAGAGCATGGTGAACAGAGAGAAGACTGGCCAAATCATTCTTCATCTTCTTCATTCAGACACAAAGGGCAGTAGCAGTAGCAGAGAGGAAAAAGCAGAGAGTATTTGTTGAGACAGATAGGTGGTGAGCCCAGTGTGCTGGAAAAGGTATTGTTTTAAAACACGACACACCAGCAAGAACTAGATAGCTGCTTATGAAATGCTGCTTGCTCAGAAAGCTAGTCGCAAGCATCTCTTTAGGAACTGGAAACCAACGTGTAAATCTTTGTAATATTTATTTTTTTAATTCAATAGTACACGGGAAGGTCTGCCTCTATAGGATGTCTGTACATAATACATTCAATAAGCAGGTGTGCTCTCAGCAGCTGTTTTTCATGCCTCACACTTCCTAGGGTAGGACATGATATTATCTGTCTATATACACATGCCACAATGCTAAACCGTAGTACTTTTCATGTCTGATGCTCTCTGTGATAAATTCTGCCCTCTGCTTTAGCCTTGCTTTGAGCCTTGCTACCTTGCAAGGACAGACATCGAAAGAGAAGTCAGGTCCCTGAGAACGATGGGCATGGTTTACAAGTGGTGAGCTCCTTCTAGCTGCGTTGCCTGAGCTTTGTTTCCTGGCATGACCATGCTTCTCTCCCCTCAACTTCTGAACCCACTGACTAATGTCAACCAACTCCACCAGCAGGGCAGAAACGTCAAAGCTAATTATGTTCCTGTAAGCGTCTTGGCAATAAATTCTTGAGTAGGAGAGAGAGATCTTGTGGCTGAATGGAAAGACCGAAGTGTGAGTTCAGGCGTGAGTGGGTCTGAATGCACCCGGGAGAGATGTTAGGAAAGCTTCACTAACGGGGAAATGATTGAGAATCCACACATCCGATGTGGCTCGGTAGCAAACCAGCTTTCACTGCGTGCTGAACCAGGAAAATTAATTGGGGGTGCTTTTGACTTGCGGCCTTTGAATCTGTAAGGTTCTCTGTTCTCTGCTTTATTCTACAATCCAGCAGGGTGGTTTTTTTTAACCATGAAAGTCGACATTGTTCTACAGCTCTGTGTCTTTAGGAGCTGAGCTGTTAAGAGAAATGCCAAATAAATTGAGACGAATGGTAAAATTAAAGGTGTTGACGGCACAGCAGAGATCTTTGGAGATTCTCGGATTATAAAGGCTTAGAGGCCCAGAGGTGACCTGCCACAGGAACTCCCTGAATCTATGAACTCGCAGGAAACAATTTCATGACCATTACGCCGGGTAGGATTGATAGAATAAAATATGCCTCCATATATACACTTCATTTCCCTGTATCCTTCCCATCAACTGCCTGATTCTGCTGACTGCCTACGTTAACTCGGAGGTCTCTTTGTGCTTCTTGAAGTAGCACAAGAGGCTTCAGAGATATTCCAAGCTTGCCTCGACAAGGCTTTGAACAGCCTGATCAAAGCTGGCCCCTGTCGGAAGCGGGGCAGGTTGTGCCAGATGACCTCCAGAAGTCCCCTCCTACCCATATTGGCCTGCGAGTCTCTGATGCTACGAATCTTCCGCCTGCCTCCTGATTTAATGTGACATTACTGGCTCATCATGCAAGACCCTCGTAAGGCTTGCAAGCTATCCAGTCATCAAAGGGAAAGTCATCAACTGCTGCCAAAGCAGTCTGCTGCTAAGAAGCCTGTTTTTTCACGCTTTGTCTTGCTCTGTTCTAGGTCTTTTCCATGCCAGAAAAGATCCTGGTCCTGCTACTCACTTCCTTACAGCCGAGTGCTGAAAAGCAAGCGGTTGAGTCTGTTATTTCTGCTGGAAAAGCCTGGGACACTTACGGTTTGGCTTTTGAGGAAGGCAAGAGTCTGAAATAACAGCAGGCCTTTTTCTCTCCTTCCATGCTTTATTCCCCCTTTCTACATAGTTACAAACCCAAGCTTTTCAATTTCAGAGGGATAAAACATGGCCTGGAAGTTTCCCACAAGTGTTTCCTACCCAAATCTCTCTCTGTCTTTTGTTCATCCTGAAAATTTAAGCAAGGCCCATAAAGAGAAAATTAGAAAGGAAATAGGCTCTAAAAGATATCATAGAGTTGTGCCTCTCAGCTATCATGAGGTTTTTGAACACAATAAATCCTTTTCTTCCCCTCCTACCAGGTGCTTTTAGGGGATGTCCTTAAAGATGTCACATTAGACTCAAGTTTTATGATGTACCTTAACAAGAGGAGCAGGAATTTAACAACAGGAGTGATATTTGAACAGCAGGGGCAGGAACTTCCCGAGCATTGCAAGTGAGCCTGGAAATGTTAGTCAGCTGCTGGCGTGTTAAGGAAAAGAAAACGTTGAAAAACTCATTAAAAATGACAAGAATTTTTGCCTGCTTTTTTTTGTAGACGTATGTTTTGAAAGAAAACTTCTCTGTGCACCCACTTAGACCCAGAGCACCACATTTTGTAAGTCAGCAGTGTGTAATTGCGGATTTGCACCATGTCATGACTATTCTTACAGCAAGCTCTGGCTGTAAGCATCATTTTGGACTGGAGATTGAAAGCAAAAACCCTCTACAGTTTCCAGGATCCACTGATGCTGGGAAATCTTGTCGTGACTTTTCCTGGTGGATTTCTCTTTTCCTGCTTTTCTTCATGGGAGTGTGAAAAAGCTGGCTGTAGGGCTGTTTCCTTTCATACAGGGGGGATGCCAGCCTAGAAATTACACTTCAGTTAGGCCACACGTTTCCTGCAACCCAGCAGTAATTAAAATCAGATTAAAAATGGATTGAGATAGAGAGAAGAAAAACACATGTTTCCAAAAGTCTGGATAAGGAGTAAATAAATACTTTGGATTAAAAATAAATAGGATGGTTTGGTAAACATACTTGCTGAATTGGACGAGGAACATGATTTGAAACTGAAAGCCCTTCCCTGTTATGATCATTTAATTGTAGAAACTCTAGGGTAAAGGAAAACTGGCTGGAAATTTCTGATTAAAACAGCATTTTGATGGAAAACACCAGTTTTCCCCAAGCTCACATTGTCTGATTTATGTTGACAACCCCCCTGTGCAGCAGCGAGGCAGGGCTCTGTGCGTGGTGGAGAGCTTAGGGAGCTTGGATAAAGAGAGGGCAATGGCAGAGGGACTGCCCCCTTTCCTCTGCAGCACATTGCTCTAGGATTCACTAAGTAAAAATTGAACCAAATTCAACTTCGACTTCATGGCTTCTTTTCAGCCATTTGGGAAGGAAGGGGAAAAAAATCAAGTAACCCGGGGACCGTGCCATCAGCCAGGTGCCCAGCATTTGTGGGCAGCTGCAGCAGAAAGCTGCTGCTCATTAGCAAACCCATTATTAGTGGGGTATTACTAGGGGGAGGGAGGGCTGCAAGGGGTTTCCTGCTATGCTTTAGGTCGTTATGCCCCTGTAATTGCAGCAAAAGCTTTTTGGGTGGTGCTTTATAAGGGAGAGTTCCTGCCACTTGCTCTTTCACAGGGAGCTTTGGGGTGAGTTTTGGCTTGTGTTGCTTAAAAGAGGAGTTCCTGCTATGCTGTCACCTCTACTAGGGGTTCCTCCAGCCCCAAAGGCTGCAAATTTGTAATAAAGGGCTGTTCCTTTCTGCAGGAAAGATCTGCTGTTAGAAAGGGGCTCTGGGTATGTGGAGAGGGATTTCTAGATGCTGACACCTTTGCTCCATTATGCCCTGCTGTATTTGAAAGCTAAAAAGGCTTAAGGCTGGGTTAGCTGACCCCTTAAATCCTCCTTTTTGTACAGGAGGATGTTTAAGATAAGGAGTAGTCAAGCTACTGCTGCTCTCAGTGCTGCTTGTGATTTCTGCTCAAAGCGACTGGAATAAATTCTTGTACTCCTTTTGCCCCTTCTAGCTTTGAGTACCTCTGAAGTGCAAATCCAGCCAGAAAACCTCATGAAAGACCAAGCACAAAGATAACAATGACTTCTTTTGTGCTCTGTTTCAGCATTGTGCTTTGCTGTGGATGAATTTAATGCCAGCAAGTGGCCTGCTGCAGCTCTGCGACCAGGTGGAGGGACCAGCATCGACGTGTACAGCAGGTAATGCCTCTCATTTACCATGTTGTCGGTCTTCTTTGTGTATGGTTTCTGTCTGGTTCACTGAGCCTTCAAGGGAAGGCAATCCATCTTGGTGCCGATGTGTTAAATGAGTTATAAAGAGGTAGCAGCAGAAATTCAGGTGTTCTGAAGTCGCTCTGTATTGTCATGTGAGGAAAAACTAAGGCCATTTGTAGTACAGAATAAAATGACAGCACATCCTTGTGCAGTGGAGGGTAATGGAGTAGTTTTTTTGTCTATTTCAGGCAGGTGAATGGTGTTTGAAAACTTCCTCTTAGAAATAAAGGAAAAATCTTCGTCCTAAAATTCTGTTTTGTGGCTTTCTTGATAAGGAAACAAATTTCTGTAAAGGAAACATGGAGGTGGAGCATAAGTAGGAATTTATTCAATTATTGTCTGACACTTCAGTCTCAATGTTATCCTTGAAAGCTGTTTATTTTTGGTCTTATATGGGGAAAAAAAAAAGGTATAAGCCTTGTTTTCTGATTTGAAGTGAACATATTGCTGCTGAAGGAAAATGCTAGAGGTGCTTTTGTAAGAAGGTCTATACAGAGTGAGATTTCCCTCTTTGCTGAGCATTGCAGAGAGAAATGCAGCCTGAGACAAAGGCTGCTTGTTTGTGGAGCGTGGCACAGAGAGCAGCTGCAAGCAGTTAAGTGGTAGGGGAATCCTGTCCTAGCTGCTCTCCTCCCTGCATGGACCTGCCCACTTCTTACACTCCTAGTCCCCAGGGACCGTGCAGAGGAAGGTGTTCTTCTCCAACACCAGTTCTTATTTCTGTTATTGGTAACAAGAATCCGTTTGGGGAACAGCGTATGTTAAACTTAAAGAGATAATGGCCTGGGAAAGCAATACTCCTGAGTACTCTTAATATGGGTAATCCAATTCCCCTAAAGTCCTTAAAATCTGGTGCTCCTGGTTACGTTCCTTACAAAATGTGTACTTATCTACATGCTAGTTCCTAAAAGCTGGGTACTGATTTGGTGTTGAGGGCTCCTGGATTTCTGTCTGCCACCTTCTTGCAAGTTCTGCTGGTAACAGCTGCTCATCTGAGGTGAGTCTGCTCCTTAGCCTTTTGCTGATGCATTTGCAACAATCTGTAGCTGGTTGGAGAGCCATTCTCCTTGAAGTGTGGGAGAAAAGCATGCAGATAGGGCCAAGATAGCCTTTCCTCATTGCTCTGGGGCTCCCAGCCTGGTGCATCCCACTTTTCTCAGTGCAAGGGCAGGCTGTTGGCCTACCAGGCATGTTTTCTGTGGGATGGACTGGCTGATGTCAACCAGGAGTGTCCAAACAAGGATCTGTGGGTGCAAAGCCGTGGCCAAATTAATGACTCTTTGCTGGTGCTATATTTGCTTGTGCTTGTGGTCATATAAGCTGATGGGAAGCTTACCCATAAATGAATCATTTTTTGGGGAAGTGCTTTAAGTCCAGCCTAAAACACCACCTCGGGCACCTCCTGTCCTACCACAAAGACGTGGGATCGCTCCTGGAGACTTCTGGCAAGGCTGGTGGTCAAGAGCTCAAGCAGTGAAGTGTGAAACCACTGGTCCTGTTGGGTTTCATCTCTTTAAGTTGAAATATCAGAATTTGCATTACACACAAATCCAAAGGCTTGCCTTTTGAGTCAGCTGCAACCCCGATGCCTCAGGGCTTCAGCCTGCTGTTCTGTGGTGAAGTAAACCCTCTGACCTGCTGCCAGGGTGCTGGTGGATTACCGGGTTTGTTACCTAAACCACTGCTCAGCGCATAATCTGGGGAGATTATGAGTTGATATATCTGCACATTAGGAACTTCTAATTACCTGAGACCTCAGTCTGTACTGAGAAGCAGCTGAATGCAGGCAGTAGCTGGCTGGAGCATCAGACTGTTAGAGCGTGCACAATTCCTGCTGTGATGGCGAGCTGTAAAACCTTCCTACCAGCAGGGAATGGGGAGACTGGGCACCATAGGGTCTCCTCTCCCTGCTGCCGCCTCTGGCTTGGCACCCATACAGTAGCTCTGAAACCCAACCCCCTTGTACCACATCTGCACCAGCAGAAAAGACTGGAGACTGGGCCAGTGTTCCTCATTTTTCTACCTTTTTGGATTGTTTCCTACCTTTTTGAGTTATTCCCTAATTAGCTCCATGTATTTCCCTTCTCCTGGCCAGCCCTTTGTTTTTTGGCTTTGATGTTCTTTGTTTGCTGATTATGCCAGAAAAATATCAAGGCTATATTCTCCATGCAATTTCTACTTTTCAACAAATAAATTGCACCCACTGGGAAGTTAGCAGTGCAATTAGTGTCTCCAGTGCTTGTGTCTGAAGCCTACCTCTTGGAAGCATTTCATGCTCTATAAATACAGTGCAAGGGAACAGGGGTGTCTGCTATTACTGTTTTCATCCCTAAACAGAAAGGGAGGAAAATCAGGCATGAAGGTTGACATGAGGCAAGGAAATGTGAAGTGCTCATATTAAAAATAAGGTGTGAAGAGGGAAAGCCCACCTGTGAGCATACTGTACAAGAAACAACACACTTGCATCCTCCTGTAAATGTTTTCATTTGAAAATCACAGAGTGTGGTAGTGAAGGCAGGGAAGGATCTTCATCATGTGTTTAAGGCCTTCACTTTGTTCATTTTATTAGCAATTTCTTTGGAAATTGTTTTAGACTTGTCCTGGGGTTGAAGGGGTTGAAGCCAAAGGCAAGCAGGAGAAGCTGGCATCACTTAAGGAACATAAAGCCTGCTTTGCTGAACGCTTACAGCCATGTAAGCGGTGCCCTCAGCAGTACTGGGATGCTGATCACTGGTAGTCTCATCTGTAATCTGCTGGCTCCTCTTCGCAGGGTGCTCTTGCTCAGCAGAGGCTTGTGATGACAGCTGGGGAGGCAGGCTCTTGAGAGCAGATGTGGGAGGAAGCCCTCTGACAGTCTCCATGCAGTGTTCTAAGAAATTCAGAGCTCTTATGGTGAAATGCTGGCATCCGTGTGGCTCGGTCATATAAGCAAATGAAGAAGGATTTCCTTTCAGAATAGAGCTTTCAGTGGAAACAATTTCAGTGTTGTCAAATCACAAAACACTGTGTTCAAACAAGTCTTCTCTATAGTATGGAAATGGAACGAGGCTTTTGACTCCAGCAAACTTTTTCCTGGGATGGGAATTTAATTGTTGGAACACGAAACTTTTCTAATTTGGGCTGAAAGCTGCCTTGAATGTTTTCTGTGGAATTAAAATGTCAACTTCTGTCCAATTGAATGCTGCATGTGTCCAGCATATGCAGGGAGACTTGGAAGGGCAGGGTAGGGGGGGTGGCAAACCCCGCTCTAAATGCGTATCTCCAAGACTGACCTTTATGAATTTCTGTGTAATTAATTCCTGTGCACCGTGATGCTGGGGGTTGTTCAAGGAACCTCGTTAGAAGTTGGGAACCTCATTAGAAGCTGGCAGTAGAAGAGCTGTAGATGGCTGTGTTTGGAAACAGTTTGGTACCTGCCTGATGAGGTGATGTACCCATGTGGACCTTTGAAGTTTATTGTAGTTTATTTGGCTAGCTTTAGGCTATCTTTCCAGACTGCAGTAGAGAATTAAGTGGTGATGAATAGGATTGGGGCACAGAGTAAAGAGGAGGTGGTTGGCTTGCTGCAAGAGTGGGCTGGGGACCTGCTGAGACCAACACAAATGTTCCCAAAACTTCAGCACTGCCAGTATGGACAGGAGATCCTTTGGGGTTGAAGCTGGGTATGTGTTTAAATAGTGAATGTAGACTTCAGGGAAGGGGAAAAAAAATCTGCAGAAGGAACCAATTTAAGATACTGTGACCAAATTCAAGTGCTGACTCAGCACATAAGCATGAGAGGGGAGATGGGAGCCTGGCTTTGCAGACCAGCCTCCTGTCCTATAGCTCTTGTTAGCCACTGAGGTGATGACACTCCCAGTGGCTTAAATATTCTGTAGGCTGTGTCTGTCTCCTTGGCCAGCTGTCTGCTCTGATGAGGTAGGAAGTGATGGCACAAATCAGCAGTTTCAGGACTGCTCCTACTCCTGCTGCACTCCCCAGAAAGTGAAGACCACAGCTCTGATGCACAAGCAACCAGACGCCTTGTGAGGAGGATTTGTTGCCCTGGGAAGTTTATCACCTAAAGCAGGAGATGAGGTTTTTGTGCTGATGGCAGGTTTTTCAGGCAACTGGAAAGCAACACTAATGCATCTCGCTGATGTGTTGTCAGTCAGTGTGTGTGGGGGGGAATCCTGTGCCTCTGGGTCATATGAATAAACCATGAGCTCTGTCCTGCCTCCCCTCTCCTTGGCTTCTGCAAAGGAGCTTGAAATAGATAAGAGCCTTTGAGGCAGGGAGAGAAAAGAGGTAATTCCAAATCACAAGGTGAGCTGCAAACCCAGGACCAGACCTTAAAAGTCTTGCTTTACAAGCCAGAGCAATCTGTCTGCCATAGAGCCTCTGTTTGTTGGTTTGGGGTTAAGAAAATAAGATCTGGGTGTACCCCAATACTTGTAGTGATGCTCATATGAAAACAGAGCATGCTTACCCTGTTTTGCCAAGGCTATGTCCCATCTGGGCACTGTGGAGGAACTAAAGATGCCAGTCCTGTACCACCTAAATGTTTCCCTACATCCAAGGTGTCAGCACTTCCTGGTGGAGTTCAGGTCACCAAAACAACTGGGCCCAGTGGGGCTGATCCATCTTACAAGAGCAGACATAAGTGTCTGGGTGCACTGACTGGAGTCAGTAAATGGCAAAAACTTGTCTGGCTCAGGCCTTAAATGGTCACATCAACCACTGTCTGCTCTATGCCAGGAGTGTAAAAACATGCTAATTCCTCCTTCACCAGCTCTTGATAAGAGCACAGCTGTCATGCAAATTCCTTGCAGATAAAGATGTGTATTTAAGCACTTCCACTCTATAATTTAGTACCTTTTTAAGCTGCCCCAAATTGATGACTCTGTTGCCGTAGACAGGACTGCAGCAGATAAATATTATTGAAG